CACTCAACCTGTATGCAAAAGTATGTGGTGGCCTAGCACAGGTGGGGGACCCTGCTTCAATACCAGCCTTTATCCACAGGTGACCCCAAGGGGTCTGCTCCAGAGCTTCAGGGTTATAAGACGTGGGACACACAGAGCACACATACACTCCTACACAACATCCACACACCGCACGAAGCTACCTGAGCCCACACAGTCAGGCTGGAGACAGGTGCAGAGCAAAGTGGGTGCACAGGGACTGGCAGAGAGGCTGAAGAGCTGAGTCTGGTTGGGAGGCCGATGGGGAAGAACTAGCACGAGAATTTCCCTCTCTCTACTCCCCTCCCCCCTGCCCCCCTCCTCCCCATCTCCATTGTAACCTCCACCTCTGAGACTGAAGCGATTCTGTTGCCTCGGCTTCACGACTAGCTGGGACTACAGGCACCTGCCACCACGCCCAGCTAATTTTTTGTGTTTTTAGTAGAGACTGGGTTTCGCCACATTGGCCAGGCTGGTCTCGAACTCCTGACCTCGTGATTCACCCGCCTTGGCCTTCCAAACTGCTGAAATTACAGGCGTGAGCTACTGCGCCCAGCCTCTTCCAGATGGTTTTCGAAGCAGGGGAGGTGGGGAAGGGAGAGGGCCATTGCTCCTGCTGGGGGGCAGCCCCCTCCACGGGATTCCCCCGTACTCCTGGCACAGCCTGTCACTGCTCTCTCTGGGGCTGGAGCTCCTGGAGAAGGCCACACTGACCTCCCACCACCTCGCTCCAGATTCCCCTTGAACTGCTTTTTCCGCAGTGTCCCCAGGCACCACTGAGGGCCTCCAGTCTTCGATGGGCTTGGGGCGCCTGGACCCTTCAGGAGTAACTTGGCCATCTTTCCCCAGCCTCCTCCCAACTGCTCGTCGCTTCCCACTTGTCTTCTCAGAACTTTCCGCTCTCTGCTTTGGGGTTCCCCAGCAGTGCCCCCCGGCTCTCCAGTCACCAGTCACCGGGTGGGCGAGGAAGGGAGAGCCTGGCGAGGCCCTCAGGTCGCAGCTGTACTTCCGGGCCCCTCCCGCTGGCTACAGTTGCGCCCGGGACCAAGAGGCAGTGACGGGTTCTACCTCGAGAACACTGGGAATGGGGCCTCGGGCAGGCCACTTCCGATTGGGAGGCATCCCGCATGGGGCAGGGTAAGTGCCCGCGGGCGTGCTCTGTTGGGCCGTAGCAGCTCTGGAGGCCAGGGCGGGGAGGGGGTCCAGTCTCCTCCCCCTCTTTTGCTGGGGCTTTCAGTAACCACTACATCCCTTGCACCCCGAGTTGGAGCCCTGGCGGGTTCTGCCCCAGGCCGTGTGCACTTTCTGGGGTCCCACGACTGCAGTCCCTGCTCCACACTGTGCTTTTAGACACTGCCTGGTGTTGGGCGGCCCTTTTCCCCACTCCCACATGGCAATGTCTCCAGGCATGGGTGACCCCTCAGTGCCCCCAAGGGCCCCGGATCTTGCCCCCACCCCGAGGCGGGTTGTATTTGAATTTATTTGGAGAAAGTCTCCCAGCCCAGAGGGCCTCTTTCTGTAGCTCTGGCCTTCCTGGAGTGGTAAGGGTTCCTGGGGCTCTCAGGCCCGACAGCTTGGCATCACCAAATTCTCTAACCATGTCTGTCCATGACTTGAACTTTTTTTCTTTTGGAAAGATCTTTGCAAACCCCTTGTGGATGTGCCACCTCCCATGGCCCCCAACACCTTTTGCCTGGGCTTTGGGCTTCAGTAGGAAATGCTAAAAGGAAGTGATGTCTGGCCGGGTGGGTGGCTCAGGCCTGAAATCCCAGGATTCTGGGAGGCCCATGCGGGTAGATCACCTGAGGTCAGGAGCTCGAGACCAGCCTGGCCAACCAACATGGTGAAACCTGTCTACTAAAAATGCAAAAATTAGCCAGGCTTGGTGGAAGGTGCTTGTAATCCCAGCTACTCAGAAGGCTGAGGCCAAAAAATTGCTTCAACCTGGGAGGCGGAGATTGCAGTGAGCTGAGAACATGCCACTGTACTCCAGCCTGGGCGACAGAGTGAGACTGTCTCAAAAAAAAAAAAGTGATGTCTAGTGCCTGGGGATTTTTCCAAGGGAGTGGTCAAGGAAGGCCCCATGGAGGAGGGGACATTTTGGGTGGGAGGTTGCTATGCAGAGCAGGAGGGTGAGGTTTCAGACCATAGGGAGAGCCAGGGAAAAGTCACCAGGTAGAACGAGCTGGCATTATTAGGAAGAAAGCAGGGAGGGCTGTGGCCCTCCCATGTGAGTGAAAGGGACTGGCTGTAGTGTAGAAGGCCTGAAGGCTCCCCACAGACCCGGTAGGCCCCAGAAAGACCCAGACCCTTGTGGAGGAACTCGGTAGGCCCCAGAAAGACCCAGACCCTTGTGGAGGAACTCATTCGTTTGGCCTAAGACTGGGCCTGGAGGCACTGTGTCCCCTGTGACTGTCAATTTCCCTAAAGATAGCCCAGAGTTGCACAGCCTGAATCCCTGTGATGGTCAATTTCCCGAAAGATAGCCCAGAGCTGCACAGCCTGAATGCCTGTGATGGTCAATTTCCCTAAAGATAGCCCAGAGCTGCACAGCCTGAATCCCTGTGATGGTCAATTTCCCTAAAGATAGCCCAGAGCTGCACAGCCTGAATCCCTGTGGTCAATTTCCCTAAAGATAGCCCAGAGCGTCACAGCCTGAATCCCTTGGTGGCCTTTTCTCTGGCTGTCCCAGCACTCACCTGGATACTTGACTCCACACCACAAAGAAAAGAAGTGAACCTGGGAACACCACTGCCAAGGTATGGGATTATTCGGGAAGCAGGAACTGAGGAGGTGGTTACAACATGAGGGGAAGCAGCAGACAGAACCTGACCACTCCTGTGGCTGCCTGGCTGGTCTCCTGGGACTGCTGGGTGCTTGGCTCAGGCTTGTCCTGTACTCTCCACTCTTTCATCTCAGCCCCCTCTGAAGTCTCTGCCCTGCCCTGACCCCCCACCCCCCAGCATACAGCCCCCAAAGCAGCTAAACAACTCGCACACCCACGGGCATCGCCTGGGAGCACAGCTGAGTTCTCTTACTTCAGCCTCATTTGAAAGATGACGAAATGAGAGTCTAGTCCACGGTGGGTCTCCCTGATCAGGTGCCGGGCTTTCCCTGGGCCTGCATACCGGAGGGTGGGAAGGGGGTGATGCAGGCGGAAAGCTTGCAGGGTGGGACTGCGTTGGGGAAGGAGTCAGAGACGGGGGACAGGGTCTGGTTGGCTCCTGCAGCCGCATGCTCTTTCTGCTCAGGGGACTCACGGTGACCCCGGGGCACTCCCCAGCCCAGCCTCCAGGTAAGAGGTCACTGAGATGGGTGGCAGCAGGGCCCGGGGATCCCCCTGTTACGACAGCAGTCATGGGACGCTGACTCACTACCGGCCAGACCACCTGATCTCAACGCCGACGCTGGAGGAGAGGGCCCTGCCAGGGGGTTCCCGCCTTGCCTTGTTTACCTCCAGGAGGCCTTGGCCTCTCATGGGGGCAGGGTGGCCGCTGGGGCAGCAGGGTGTGTCGGGAAGGACTGGAGCCAGGGTCTTCACCTCAGCTTCCCAAGGACCCCCCCCGCCTTCTGTGCTTCCTTTTCCCCTCGAATGTCTTCACCTGCCCCCAGCCCCTGTTGAAACTTCTCACGATCCCAAACAGGGCCAAATAGCATGAAGGCAAAGGAGCTCCTTTTTGGGGTGAGTGGGGTGCCTTGAGCGCTTCCTCAAAGCTGTGTTCCCAGAGCGGGAGGGCTTTCTTTGTGTCCCCCACCCCATTAAGACCAGGCCTTAGCTGGGGGCTTGGGGCAGGAAAGCCAGCCTGGTGGGGCCACATGGCTCTCAGGTGCCCGGGCTGCTGAGTCATGCTTGGCCAGCACCTGTCTGCAGGCCACAGCCTCTGCCAGCAAGCCCCTCTGTGTCCCCTGCCCCTGTTTGCAAGGCAGTGGCTCCAGCAGGCCATAGGGCACCTTCCACTGTCCCCCACTGGATTCAGGCAGAGGCCTGAGCCCTCTCCACAGGGCTGCTCTGGGCAGGGTGGAAGCCTTGCCCACTTGGGAGTCCTCTGGAAGGATCAGTCACGCCTGTGGACCAGCCCCTGCTGTGTATACACCCACATATCACCTTCACACCTGACTGACCCCATCCAGCCTCCCTTCCCTCCCTCTGGGTTTCCCACCCTGGGATGTTGGATGTTTTTCCAGGTCCTGCAAGCCCTAGCCTGAAATGGCATGAATTGGACCCAGCAGATTCTGACCTCTTGGGAGACTCTGTCGAGTGACCGCCCCTCCTGCCCCTCTCCTTGGCCCAGTACCGATGGACAGGTCACTCTGGTGGCATAAAACAGTGTTTCTTCCTTCCTAGCTGAGGAGGCTGTTGGATGACCGTTTTGGCTCCCCACAATGCCAGCGGGCCTGAGCCCCTGCAGGGCCATGGACACTGCCTACTGAATTGAGAAGTCCGTGAGTTGTCTCTTGGCCATAGTGAATGCTGGGTGACCGCGCCACTCCTATTAACTGGGAGCTGCTCTGACGCTCAGGCTAGAGTCAGGTGTCTGTCCCTCAACCTAGTTAGGGGCCCATCACCCAGGATGCTATGGGCTGTAAAGCATGTTGCCCCCAACTCACGTCCTCGCCCACCCCCCCTACTCCCACCTTGGGAGGCTGACCATGGCAGGGTCAGGAACAAGTTGCTTGTTCTGGCCAGCAGTGCCTACTGGGTGGCCAAGCAGCCCCCTGGTATGGGGACTGTGTCCCGCTCCCCCTGCACTGGGTACCCCCAACTGAGGATATTGCTGAGTCACGGCCCGGCCCAGGCCTGGGAGGGGCTAGGGGCGGGACCCCGCCAGTCCCTTGATCCCAGGTGCAGAGGTCGGAGCCCAGGCCTAGCTGAGTGCCAGGGCCGGTCTCTTGGGGTCCTTGGTGCACCCGGGCAGTGAGGAGAGGGTTCCGCAATGAGGGGGCTAAGGAGACCCGGAGCGAGGGGTAGCGGGGAAGGGGGCAGTAGTGAAGGGGCCTCTGCAGGGCGGCTCTCGCGCCGCGGCGGCGACGGCGGGGGCCGGGCGGGCGGGCCAGACTCCGCCCCTCGTGAGGCGGGGCGGGGCCTCCGTGTCGCTATAAAAGCCGCGCGCCGGCCGCGCCGGGTACAGCCGGTTTTGCGCCCGCCGCCTGACGGTTATGGCGTCGCTCACCGTGAAGGCCTACCTTCTGGGCAAGGAGGAGGCGGCGCGCGAGATCCGCCGCTTCAGCTTCTCCTTCAGCCCCGAGCCTGAGGCGGAAGCCGAGGCTGCGGAGGGTCCGGGGCCCTGCGACCGGCTGCTGAGTCGGGTGGCAGCCCTGTTCCCCGCGCTGCGGCCCGGCGGCTTCCAGGCGCACTACCGCGGTGAGCGGGCCGGAGAGCGGCGGGGGCTGGGACGCAGGCCGGGCCCGGCCTCCCTTCTCGGCGATGCCTGGCGGGCCGCGAGGGGTCTGCCCTGGCTGCTCCCTGGGTGGCGGTGGCCTGCCTGGGTCCCCAGTTCGGCCTTGGGGTGACTGGAGTGGTGACCGAAGCCGGGCGCCGGCCCTGCGGGACCTGGGGCGGGGGGGCCCTGCCGGCCCGGGCTCGGGCCTGGGAGCGTCGGACGCCGCCCCTCCCGCTCCGAGGTGTTGCGAATTTGGGCAAGGACGCGCCCGGGCGTCCTCTCTGGCTCTCCGCGGGAACGGGGTGGGCAGGCGGGCACTCGGGTTACTGTGACATCTTGCTGCGCCAGGTGGTGGGTTCAGATAATGCCCCGGGGGAGCCCGGGCAGCGCCGGCGGGTGGGAGGGAGTGACGCGGGGAACAGGCGCGGCGGTGCGGGCGACTCGGGAGCGCCGCGACCGCGCGGGGGAGGAGGGCGCTGATGGCCAACGGAACGCTCCAGGCCAGGCGGGGTACCGATGTTACCCCACTGGCAAGTGGAGAGAGGGACGAGACGAGAACGTTCTTCAGAAGTGTTGATGTGGTCACAGAAACCCAGGAGCTGTTTCCTGCTGCGCTGCTGTGACCGGTGGCTGCTGGGGGTGGGGTTAGGGAGGTGGTTGTGGCCAGGAGGGAGGGAGGTGGCCAAGGCCGGCCCCTGGGAGGGGGCAGTGCTGAGATCTCCCTCTGGAGTGCTGCCAGCCTGCCAGGCCTTCTATTCTTAAAAAAAAGTTGTGATGTTGAGCTGTAGCTGATACAAGGGTTCACCCATTTTGTGCACAAGTCAGTGGTTTTCACCATCTTCATCGGATTGTGGACCATGTTCAATCCGAGAACCTTTCATCACCTTCTAAACGCCATGCCTTTTATCATCCCCCTATCCAAATGCCCCCAGAAACCACTAACCTCCTTCTGTATCTATTCATCTTGCAACCCTGGAAATTTCATGTAAATGGAATCATACAGTGTAGGCTTGCAAGTGGTTCCTTTCACTTCGTGTAATGTGTTCAATGTTGTGGCGCATATCAGTACTTCATTTTTTTTTTTTTTCTGAATAATATTCTGTCGTATGGACAGGCCACGTTTTGTTTACCCGTTCATTACTTGATAGACATTTGGGTTTGCATCTTTGGGTGCCACACCTGTTCCCATGGTGGATGGTGAGCTTTGGTCCGCACGGTGGTGCTTTAAAACCATTTGAGCTCACCTTTATCTGTCACAACTGGAGACTACATACAAATACTTGTTTTTTTCAGCTTTGTTAGGGAAGGAAGCAGGCAGATGCACTTGTCTCCTTTACTTCTAAGCCACCAAGGCCTTTGTGGGGCTGGGACCCTCAGGAGCAGGTCACAGGCAGGGATCTCTCATGCGTGGAGATGGACATGGGCCTGGTTGGATGCGGAATGAGGTGGCATGTTTCTGAAGGGCCAGCTGGCCCAAGGCTAAATAGTGCAACGGCTGAAGCCTCTGCTGCCCCTATGCACAGGCCCTTGTCCCCTGCATGTGGCTGTGGTCCAGGGCCCAGGTTGGAGCACTCACCTTCCAGGAGGTGCCAAAGTGAGGGGATAGCCTTGCCTTTCGCGCCTGCCCTCCGTGGCCCAAGTAGGTGTACTCCAGTTTATAGCCCTGTCAGCGTCCCTTTCATACTGGCCTCAGACCATTCCACAACTTATGTCTAGCTGAGAACCCCTGGGTGCTCACATGCTGTCTTTTAAACAATCTAGATGAGGATGGGGACTTGGTTGCCTTTTCCAGTGATGAGGAATTGACAATGGCCATGTCCTATGTGAAGGATGACATCTTCCGAATCTACATTAAAGGTAAGGGGCTGCTCTGGGGCTTCCTGAAGCTAGCTCAGCTTGTACTCATTATCCCTACTGAGTAAATCGGGCTTGATGGGCCCGGCGCTGTGGCTCATGCCTGTAATCCCAGCACTTGGGAGGCCGAGGCGGGTGGATCACGAGGTCAAGAAATCGAGACCATCCTGGTCAACATGGTGAAACTCCGTCTTTACTAAAAATACAAAAAATTAGCTGGGCATGGTGGCGCATGCCTGTAATCCCAGCTACACAGGAGGCTGAGGCAGGAGAATTGCCTGAACCCAGGAGGCGGAGGTTGCGGTGAGCCGAGATCGTGCCATTGCACTGCAGCCTGGGTAACAAGAGAGAAACTCTGTCTCCAGAAAAAAAAAAAAAAAAAAAAATCGGGCTTATGTTCCACCAAGGAAGGGGTCAGGAATTTGAGGACTGTTTAAAACAGGGACATAGGTCAGGCATGGTTGCTCATGCCTGTAATTCCAGCACTTTAGGAGGCCGAGGCAGGCAGATCGCCTGAGGTCAGGAGTTCAAGACTAGCCTGGCCAACATGGTAAAACCTTGTCTCTACTAAAAATACAAAAATTAGCTGGGCATGGTGGTGCATGCCTGTAATCCCAGCTACTCGGGATGCAGAGACAAGAGAATCACTTAAACCTGGGGAGCAGAGGTTGCAGTGAGCCGAGATCACACCATTGCACTCCAGCCTGGGTGACAAAGTGAGACTCTGTGTCAAAAAAAAAAAAAAAAAGAGACATAATAAATGCTGTGTCTGACCTGAGAAAGAGAAGTCCACGTTAACGCTAGGGATGGGGTCTGGTGCTGTGGTGCGTGGGTGAAGAGCAAGGCCAAAGCTGTGCAGACAGGGTTCCTTGATGCTGCTCTGCTGCCTGGGCCACACTGCCCAGGTAACAGACACAGGGACTGGGAACCTCCTAGCAGGTTCTTGGTTGCTCTGCTGCCCTCACCTAAGGAGCTGAATTTTGTGTGGACTCCATGCTGGAGAGCAGGGCCAGGGGCCTTGATGGTGGTGACGATGGATGGGAGGACTTTAGGGGGCCTCACTCTAGTGCCTCTTTCTACTCTCCATGCAGAGAAAAAAGAGTGCCGGCGGGACCACCGCCCACCGTGTGCTCAGGAGGCGCCCCGCAACATGGTGCACCCCAATGTCATCTGTGATGGCTGCAATGGGCCCGTGGTAGGAACCCGCTACAAGTGCAGCGTCTGCCCAGACTACGACCTGTGTAGTGTCTGTGAGGGAAAGGGCTTGCACCGGGGGCACTCCAAGCTCGCGTTCCCCAGCCCCTTTGGACACCTGTCTGAGGTGAGCAGACCCTCCCTGCGGGCCTGGGGTGGGTGCAGGATGGCAGGAACCCCGACCTGACTCCCTGTCCCTCTGCTAATTCTTCCCTCAGGGCTTCTCGAACAGCCGCTGGCTCAGGAAGCTGAAACACGGGCACTTCGGTTGGCCAGGCTGGGAGATGGGCCCACCAGGAAACTGGAGCCCACGTCCTCCTCGTGCAGGGGATGCCCGAGCTAGTCCCACGGCAGAATCAGGTGAGGCTTGTTTTGGAACTGGCTTCTGAATGATGACTGTAGTCAGTCCCGCAGCCTGTGTGCAAGGCAGGAATTCAGGACACCTCCCCGCCTTCCTGATGTCCTGAATTCCTCTGTGCATCTGTGTCCTGCAATCACACAAGAACCCCGCAAAATGGGGAGTATTCTCTGCGTTGCCCAAATGGGGAAACTGAAGTGCCCAAGTGCTTGAGGCCACAAATTCACCTGCAGAGCCCTTTCCATCTCAGGAGGCTGCCCTCCTGAGGTGCCCGGAGGTATAGGCAGGGAGGCCTTTCCTGTGCTGGGGTCTCTGCTGTACTTTGTTTTCTTTTGTGGTGGTTGTCAGGAAGATCAGAGCCAAAGTTGCAAGTCCTTTTAAACACAGTTGTAAATTAAGACTTACCCTTAGCTTTGCAGTCTAGATTTTTGGATTCTGATTTTATTTTATTTTTGTTTTTGAGATGGAATTTCGCTCTTGTTACCCAGGCTGGAGTGCAATGGCGCGATCTCGGCTCACCGCAACCTCCCCCTCCTGGGTTCAGGCAATGCTCCTGCCTCAGCCTCCCGATTAGCTGGGATTACAGGCACGCGCCACCATGCCCAGCTAATTTTTGTATTTTTAGTAGAGACGGGGTTTCACCATGTTGACCAGGATGGTCTCGATCTCTTGACCTCGTGATCCACCCGCCTCGGCCTCCCAAAGTGCTGGGATTTTAGGCGTGAGCCACTGCGCCTGGCCGGATTCTGATTTTATTAATCCTACTGTGTCCTGTGAATCACCTCACCCTTTGGGACAAAGATGGGGATGTTTGCTTGACTTTGAGTAAATAACACATTTATTCAAGGATGTGGTCAATATTTACCCACAGTGTACTGAGCCTGAGCCTGTGTGGGGTTACTGAGCATCAGGGTCACAGATGAGGGGGAGCAGCGCAGGAGGGTGGAGAGGCTCATGGTGCAGGGGCAGGGGCTGTAGAGTGGGAAGGGGGAGAGGGGCGCTGAGTGGACTGCTGGACAAGGTGACGGGGAGGAAGGTTACCTGGGAGCACAGGAACCTTGGCAAGAAGGGGACTGACAAGCATCCGAGAATGTGAGGTGTCTTTTATTTTATCTTTGTGAAAATCGAAGCTTCTGGTCCATCGGAGGATCCCAGTGTGAATTTCCTGAAGAACGTAGGGGAGACCGTGGCAGCTGCCCTCAGCCCTCTGGGTGAGTACGCCTTCTTGCCCAGTGCTTTCCTAACTCAGCCTGCACTTTACGTAACTTTCACCTGGAATACTGCAGAGGAAAGGGTAATTGACATACCCTTGACGCTGGTGAGGCCTCATACTAACCTTTGTTAAGTAACTACTGGAACACGGGCACTCAACGTTGAATTCCCTGACAGAATTCTCAAGCTTTCTACACAGAGTGAAGTAGAATCAGCCAGCATTTGGTTGGGAAAATCCCAGTAAGGGAGGGTGGCCAGGCTCTGGTTGCAGGGCTTGCCTGTCACCTTTGACTGCCCTCCTTTGGGTGAACAACAGTCTGCATTTTCCCCTAAGCTGGGCCTTGGGATTTGGACTTTTGAGGACTTGGGTAATAGTTAATTGAGGTATTATTTATCCTTTCCTTCTTTTAGTTTGCAACCCCCAAACCTTTCCTGGGTGCTTTTGAATGCTGGGCCTGCATCAGAGAGGGGAGAAGGTGGAGGCAGGTGCTCTGGGTGACACCCAGTTCCGGTGCCTCACATTGCATAGTGGGTCTGCTGGCGCGGGTGAACCCCAACATGTACCTCCAGAGTGGTGCCACCTGACCCCAGGCATGAGCTAAGGTTCTGAGAACCCTCTCCAGTGGGCTTTAGAAAGTACCTGTTGTGTCTGACTAAGGGTCTGGGGCGGAGCGTGCAGCAGTAAGAAGAATCGGCAAATGAAGCCCACTTTTAGTTCAAGATGATGGTGGATCTGTGATGGCAATTGGATTGCTCGGACACTTGCATTTCTCTCTCGAAAAGCGAGCTTGTCTTTGCAACTGTAGTGGCTGGCTCTGTCCACCTAGCCTGTCCAAAGGTGTTCAGTGTCTGAAAGAATGCTGCTAGGAGGGGTGTCTGAATCCTGTCTGCCACCTCCAGTGGCTACAGGGCATGACTGCCATTTCCAACTCTGCTCATTCTGATTTTTTCTTTTTTGAGACAAAGTCTCCCTCTGTCACCCAGGCTGGAGTGCAGTGGTGCAATCTCTGCTCACTGCAACATCTGCCTCCGGGGTTCAAGCAATTCTCCTGCCTCAGCCTCCTGGGTAACTGGGATTATAGGTGCCAGCCACCACACCCAGCTAATTTTTATATTTTTTTAGTAGAGATGGGGTTTCACCATGTTGGATAGGCTGGTCTCAAACTCCTGACCTCAGGTTATCTGCTTGCCTTGGCCTCTCAAAGTGCTGGGATTATAGGCATGAGCCCCCGTGCCTGGCCTTACGTATTCTGCTTTGAAGCAGCAGTGACATATTGGCATTGTTGCTGAACTAAACAGCCCAAATACATATGGCTTCTTTACTGGAGTTTGGAGGTGAAGTCAGAGAATAGGAAAGAAAAATCGCTACTTTTCTTTTTTTTTTTCTTTTTTTTTGCCATGGAGTTTCACTCTGGTTGCCCAGGCTGGAGAGTTCAATGGTGAAGTCATGACTGGGTTCAAGCGATTCTCCTGTCTTAGCCTCCCGAGTAGAGAGATTACAGGTGCCTGCCACCATGCCCAGCTAATTTTTGTATTTTTATATAGATGGGGGTTTCACTACATGTTGGCCAGGCTGGTCTCAAACTCCTGACCTCAGGTGATCCACCTGCCTCAGCCTCCGAAAATGCTCGGATTACAGGTGTGAGCCACCATGCCCTGCCAAGAATCGCTATTCTTTTTTTTTTTTTTGAGATGGAGTTTTACTCTTGTTACCCAGGCTGGAGTGCAATGGCGTGATCTCGGCTCACCGCAACCTCCGCCTCCTGGGTTCAGACAATTCTCCTGCCTCAGCCTCCTGAGTAGCTGGGATTACAGGCACGTGCCACCATGCCCAGCTAATGTTTTGTATTTTTAGTAGAGACGGGGTTTCACGTTGTTGACCAGGATGGTCTCGATCTCTTGATCTCGTGATCCACCCGCCTCGGCCTCCCAAAGTGCTGGGATTACAGGCTTGAGCCACCGCGCCATGCCCAAGAATCGCTATTCTTTTTTTTTTTTTTTTTTTTTTGGAGACGGAGTTTCGCTCTTGTTACCCAGGCTGGAGTGCAATGGCACGATCTCGGCTCACCGCAACCTCCACCTCCTGGGTTCAAGCAATTCTCCTGCCTCAGCCTCCTGAGTAGCTGGGATTACAGGCATGCGCCACCATGCCCAGATAATTTTTTGTATTTTTAGTAGAGACGGGGTTTCACCTTGTTGACCAGGATGGTCTCGATCTCTCGACCTTGTGATCCACCCGCCTCGGCCTCCCAAAGTGCTGGGATTACAGGCTTGAGCCACCGCGCCCGGCAGAATCGCTATTCTTAATGCTTTCCAGGGAGGGGAAAACGGTGGAGTACTGAGATTATGATTGAGATAGGCTCTGCCTAAACCCTGCTGCTTACTCTGGACATAGTAAAGGTCTGAGAAATTGCAGGTGAATTTGGAGGTATGAACAAGAGTCTTTCACTCAAAGAACAAAGGAGACATCCTTTGTTCACAAAACCAAGTCTAGGTTCAGGTAGAGACTTTAATAAGACAGTGCAGCTCCCCAGGCCTTACCTTTTTTGATGCTGTAAGTGGGTGTTGGTGGGGCCTGGGGATCTTTCTGGGAGGCTGCCTAGGTGCTTGGGGTCACACTGTCCCAAGACCCACCTGTGCTGGTGCAGCATCTCAGAACTGAACTGGATGCCCCATTTGGCACAGACAGGAATAATTCTGCAAGTGCTCAGAGGTCTTTGAGCACTAAAGGCTAAAGGTTTAAAGTGGATAGAATTGCTTTTTCCTAACTGAGGAGGAGCCTGGAGCTCTACAAACAAGGAACATTTTAGTAAAATAGACTGAGTGGTTTCAGCTGAGGAGAGCTAGTCAAGGAGTGGCTTACTCTGTTGTGGAAGCTGGGGCTCTTTTCTTTCCTTTCTTTATGAGGAAGTATAAGCAGGATGACTCACAGGTTAACTGCCTAGAAGGGACTGTTTCCAGAGCAGGGCCCAAAGGAGAATGAGTCAACAGCAGCCTCCCGGTTGTAGTATGTGTGTGGGGTGGGCGGTGGCTTTCATGTGAAGAGCCAAGGCCTTTCAGAGCCACCACTGAGACCCAGGCTCCTCCTGGCTGGGAAGGTTGCAGGCCCCCCTGACATCCAGGACATGAAGCCACAGAGTCCGTCCTGGACATGTTATCTTTGATAAACACACACCCACATGCAGAGGCTTTGTGGGGCAGCAGGGCACGGAGCATCGTCCACTTTTGCTTTTTTTGTTTTTTTTTTTTTTTTTTTTTTTTTTTTTTTGAGACGGAGTTTCGCTCCTGTTACCCAGGCTGGAATGCAATGGCGCGATCTCGGCTCACCGCAACCTCCACCTCCTAGGTTCAGGCAATTCTCCTGCCTCAGCCTCCTGAGTAGCTGGGATTACAGGCACGCACCACCATGCCTAGCTAGTTTTTTTGTATTTTTAGTAGAGACGGGGTTTCACCATGTTGACCAGGATGGTCTCGATCTCTCGACCTCGTGATCCACCCGCCTCGGCCTCCCAAAGTGCTGGGATTACAGGCTTGAGCCACCGCGCCTGGCCTTTTTGTTTGTTTTTTAAGTGAAAGCAAGTTTCATAAGAAAGTAAAGAAATATAAAAATGGCTACTCCATTGGCAGAGCAGCCTGTCCAGTCTTTTTTTTTGAGACGGAGTTTCGCTCTTGTTACCCAGGCTGGAGTGCAATGGCGCGATCTCGGCTCACCGCAACCTCCGCCTCCTGGGCTCAGGCAATTCTCCTGCCTCAGCCTCCTGTGTAGCTGGGATTACAGGCATGCGCCACCACGCCCAGCTAGTTTTTTGTATTTTTAGTAGACACGGGGTTTCACCATGTTGACCAGGATGGTCTCGATCTCTCAACCTCGTGATCCACCCGCCTCGGCCTCCCAAAGTGCTGGGATTACAGGCTTGAGCCACCGCGCCCAGCCTCTGTCCAGTCTTATTATAAGCCCTGAAATCTCAGGCTTTCATCATCAAATTCGAGAAATCGTAATTCTGTAATTTCTCTGATGTGTTTACAAATGAGTCTCATTACATACCCATTAAAAAAGCATATGGGAGGCCGGGCGCGGTGGCTCAAGCCTGTAATCCCAGCACTTTGGGAGGCCGAGGCGGGTGGATCACAAGGTCGAGAGATCAAGACCATCCTGGTCAACATGGTAAAACCCCGTCTCTACTAAAAATACAAAAATTAGCTGGGCATGGTGGCGCGTGCCTGTAATCCCAGCTACTCAGGAGGCTGAGGCAGGAGAATTGCCTGAACCCAGGAGGCGGAGGTTGTGGTGAGCCGAGATCGCGCCATTGCACTCCAGCCTGGGTAACAAGAGTGAAACTCCAACTCAAAAAAAAAAAAAAAAGCATATGGGTGTTGATTATACTATTCTTTCAACTCTTCTGTTTGCTTCAACCTTTTCCTAATCACAGTTGGGAAGAATAAAGGAGAAAAACAATTGAAATATTACAGATGGAGGTACTTGCAGTTAAGCCTGCTTTTACTTAAACTCTACTGAAATAACAGGAAAGGGCTTAACCAAAAAAGAAAACACCATATACACGGAAAGTAATAGAGGAAAAGACAAAGATGTCATCAGAGTTTGGAAGATGGAAATGGAGGGAGGGTGACAGCCTGTCAAAGGAAGCTTCAGAAACCTCTGTGCCTGCATCAGGCATCCTGGTGAGAAGCAAGACCATGTGTTCAGGTACCAGGAAAGGCAAGAGGTGGGAGTCCGTCAGAGACTTCAGGGCCCACTTCTGGCCGAAGAAGGAAGGAACAAGGGGAGGGTTGAAAAACCTCTAGTAAGTGTCAGTTAGAGACTTCAGGGCCTACTCGGCTAGATGACGGCTCTTGGTAACACTTGAAGGAGATCTCATGTTTAATTCCAGGAGCACCTGACCCAGGGAAGCTTCAGCTACGGGATACCAGAGACACAGGGCAGGGTGAGGCACCAGCCGGAAACTGGGCATCCCGAATGAGCAGTGGTCCCAGCAGTCACTTCCCTGGCCAGGCAGGAGATGGGGAGACCCTGTGGAGGGAGGCTGACCCCCAGAGAAGAGTCCTACAGCTCCTGCCTGCCAGGCCCCCAGTCACCCTGCAGAGGGGAAGTTAATGATGGCCCTGGCCCCACTGAAGGCTTCCTGTCGACCTTTCCTTAGTGCTTCAGTGGGAACAGGCAGCCTTGGGTCACCAACCATCTGAGGAAGCCTCCACACATGGGAGAAAAGGTCTTAAAGAAAAGAGAATGTTAGTGCCCTCAATGAGATACAAAAGAGTATTGTCTGAGAGAAAAAAGAACAGGTTACTATAAAAAGGATAACAACAAAGGGAATAGAATAAAGTTCTTGAAATTAAAAAATATAAAAGAAAAAAACTTCAAAAGAAGACTTAGATTCTTATACTGTCTCAAGGAGATATTCCAAAAGCAAAATAGAGATGGGAGGAAAGAAGAAAAAACTAGTGTAGGAACAAGTCTGGAAGCCCAATATAGGATGACTAGGAATGCTAGAAAGAACAGAAAACTGAAAGGAGGAAATGAACATAGAATGCAAGATACAGTTTCTTGGTGCCAGGCATGGTGGCTCACACCTGTAATCCCAACACTTTGGGAGATCAAGGCAGGCAGATAATTTGAGCTCACAAGTTTGAGACCAGCCTTGGTGACATAGTGAGACACCACCCCAGCTCTTCCCTTGTCTACAAACACTACAAAAATTGACCAGGCATGGAGTTGTGTACTTATTGCCCCAGCTACTTGGGAGGCTGAGGTTGGGGATGGCTTGAGCCTGGGAGGTAGAGGGTGCAACAAGCCTAGATTGTGCCACTGCCCTCCATCCTGGGCAATAGAACCAAGCCTTGTCTCAAAAAGAAAAAAAAAAAAGCTTATCATTGTCAAGTGTCAGAATGCTGAGGATAAAGAGGGGCTCCTAAAACTCTAGGTTACCGTTGGGACTACAAAGAGCAAACATAAGAAGCTAGGAGACAATGGAATAAGCGATGACTTCAAAAATCAGTTAAAAAGGCTTATCAGCCTAGAATTTTTTTTTTTTTTTTTTTTTTTTTTTTTTTGAGATGGAGTTTCACTCTTGTTACCCAGGCTGGAGTGCAATGGCGCGATCTCGGCTCACCGCAACCTCCGCCTCCTGGGTTCAGGTAATTCTCCTGCCTCAGCCTCCTGAGTAGCTGGGATTACAGGCACACGCCACCATGCCCAGCTAATTTTTTGTATTTTTAGTAGAGATGGGGTTTCACCATGTTGACCAGGATGGTCTCGATCTCTTGACCTCGTGAGCCACCGCGCCTGGCAGAATTTTTGTTTTTGAAACAGCGTCTCACTGCTCACTGTCACCTGGGCTGGAGTGCAGTGGTACAACTGTCTTGATCTCTTCGGCTCAAGTGATCCTTCTGCTTCAGCCTCCCAAGTAGCTGGGAATACAGGCATGTGCCACTGTGCCCAGTTTTTTTTTTTTTTTGGGAGGCAGAGTCTCACTCTCACCCAGGCTGGACTGCACTGACATGATCTTGGCGTACTGCACTCTCCACCTCCCGGGTTCAAGCAGTTCTCTGCCTTAGCCTCCCAAGTAGCTGGGATTATAGGCGCCTGCCACCACACCTGGCTAATTTTGGTATTTTTAGTAGAGACAGGGTTTCATCATCTTGGCCAGGCTGGTCTTGAACTCCTGACCTCATGATCCACTTGCCTGTCTCCCAAAGTGCTAGAACTACAGGCATGAGCCACCATGCCCAACTCTGTGCCCACCTATTTAAAAAAATTTTTGTAAGCCAGGCTCATGCCTGTAATCTCAGTACTTTTGGAGGCTGAGGTATGTGGACCATCTGAGGTACAGAGTTCGAGACCAACCTGGCCAACATGGTGAAACCCTGTCTCTACTAAAACTACAAAAATGAGCCGGGTATGGTGACGCATGCCTCTAATCCTAGCTACTCTGGAGGCTGAGGCAGGATAATCGCTTGAACGTGGGAGATGGAGGTTGCAGTGAGCCCAGATTGTAACACTGCACGCCAGCCTGGGCAACAGAGTGAGACTCTGTCTCCAGAACAAAAATAAAAATAAAAAAAATAAAACATTTTTTTAGAGTTGGGGTCTTGCCATGCTGCCCAGGCTGATTTTGGACTTCTGGGCTCAAGAGATCCCTCATGTTGGTCTCCCAAAGTGTTAAGATTACATGCATGAGCCATCGTATCTGACCTAGAATTCTGTACCCAGCTAAAATGATCAAATATAAGGTCGGAACAGTGACTTTCTGATATACAGTCTCAATTATTTTAACCTTGGTTTGAACCACATGAAGAGAGAAACCCAGAATGAAGAACAGAGGTATTAGGAAGCAAAGGCCCTAACAGGACAGAGGGTGAAAGTAAAGGTGGTCACAGCATCACAGCAGAGCCTCTGCCCAGAGAGCTGCCAGTCCTGGCTGGAATAGGAGGCTGCACACCAAGGGGCATTCTCTAAGGAAAACACCAGAACCAGTGGGGCCTCTGACCCACTTCACCCATGTAGAAAACTATGGAGATGCTGTGGGAGAACATGGGGAGAGTTAGCAAATGAAAAGAGAAGGCAGGCTGGGCACGATGGCTCACGCCTGTAATCCAAACACTTTGGGAGGCCAAGATGGGCAGATCACCTGAGGTCAGGAGTTTAAGACCAGCCTGGCCAACATGGTGAAACCCCACCTCTACTAAAAATACAAATACTAGCTGGGTGTGGTGGTGGGCACCTGTAATCTCAGCTACATAGGATGCTGAGGCAGGAGAATTGCTTGAACCTGGTGGGTGGAGGTTGCAGTGAGCCGAGATTGCACCACTGCATTTCAGCCCAGGCAACAGAGCGAGACTTCGTCTTGAAGAAGGCCAGGCGTGGTGGCTCACGCTGTAATCCCAGCACTTTGGGAGGCCAAGGCAGGCGGATCACAAGATCAGGAGATCAAGACCATCCTGGCTAACACAGTGAAACCCCATTCCAACTAAAAATACGAAAAATTAGCTGTGTGTGGTGGCACATGCCTGTAGTTCCAGGTACTCGGGAGGCTGAGGCAGGAGGATTGCTTAAATCCAGGAGGTGGAGGCTGCAGTGGTTGAGATCGTGCCATTGCACTCCAGCCTGGGCGACAGCGAGACTCTGTCTTAAAAAAAAAAAAAAAAGCATCATTAGTGGTAGGAAAACAAAGCTATACAAGGAAATAGTCTGTTAATTGACCCAGCAAAGAACATTTAGATGGAGGTACTACCTGAAACACTGAATGTGGTTTTAACAAAAAATTGAGTCTTAGAAAGGGTAGTGGAAGGGAAGGCAGATACTGGTCTAGAGTAAGTGCATAGATGTGAACTCTTATAAGTAGGCAAGAGTAGCATGAGCTGAAAGCACAGGGAGGCTTTGAGAGGAATGGGAGCAGGGAGTATGCGCCACAGCCTCTGGCAACTGGTGACTCTAAGCTGTGGGTATGGAGACTTTTGACACATTTAATTTTAAAACTACTGTGAGTGATTCCTCCCTCTGTCCCTGGTGAGTTATGTGAGCCTGGAAGTGTGCAGGCTCCCTGTGCTGCCAGCCTTGGGCCCTAGGCCTCTCTGAGCAGAGCCCTAGCGTTTAGGTGCGTGTATGTGTCATCGCACAAAGCCTCTATGTGCAGGGATCATGAGGCACATAGCCTTCCATCACTGGCTGGAGGCACCTGCCACATGTAGCATTGGCTCCCCCTCTATTTAGGGCCTGGCCCTACCTGCAATGTAGCCCATGTCCTGAATGGTTAGGAAAAACAAGGTCTCTTTGGACTTTGTAGCTCAGAAACTGACCTTAGATGTTAGCTGAGGTTCATGTTTTAGTGGGTTGGAGAAAGAGAAAGGTCCAGTATCATAGGCACACTGAGTTTCCAGAAGCCATAAGAGATTTGGAGGTGGGATACTGGGAGGAGCCTCTGACTCAAGGGTTTCTATCTTGGTCTGGTCCCATACTGGCTATGTGACTCTAGGGTCAAGCTCAGTAGGAGAACCTAGCACCTGAGTGCCACCATCTAGACTGTTACCTGCTTGTGGGGACTCAGTGTGAGATCTTCGTGAGTCTGCAGTCCGCACAGGCCATGCTCCTGCTTGCAGGTGCGTCCTTGGAGGAACTTCACAGCTTTTTCTTTCCTCCTTGGCCTCTAGGCATTGAAGTTGATATTGATGTGGAGCATGGAGGGAAAAGAAGTCGCCTGACCCCTGTCTCTCCAGAGTGTTTCAGCACAGAGAAGAGCAGCTCGCAGTCAAGCAGCTGCTGCTCTGAACCCAGCAAGCCCCGTGGGAACGTTGAGGGCGCCACGCAGTCACTGGCGGAGCAGATGAGAAAGATTGCCCTGGAGTCCGAGGGGCACCCTGAGGCAAGCCTGTGCCCCTCCCGCCACCTGGGACCGTGGCCAGCCTAATGATTTGTGGCCTGCACCTCTGCCTCATCCTCAGCACCTATGCAACCCCACTTATAAAATCCAAGGGAGCTGCTGCTGTTCCTGCAGTGATGTCTGTGGCATTAAACTCCTTTGGGAACCTGCTAGAATTCTGTAGTTACTTGGTCTTTGAGAGTGGCTCACTGTTCCCTGTAGCCCCCTGCAGCTTTAAACGCATGTGCGCGTGCACGCTCCCTGGCTCGTGTGCCAGGAGTTGGTGTCATGTCAGGTTTGGCCTGTAGTGCATGTCTCCTGTGTGCTCATGGTGAGTTTTGTTCCAGGAACAGATGGAGTCTGATAACTGTTCGGGAGGAGACGACGACTGGACCCATCTGTCTTCAAAAGAAGTGGACCCATCTACAGGTGAACTTCAGTCCCTACAGATGCCAGAATCTGAGGGGCCAAGCTCTCTGGACCCCTCCCAGGAGGGACCCACAGGGCTGAAGGAAGCTGCCTTATACCCGCATCTGCCGCCAGGCAAGTGAACCCAGAGGCTTTGTATTCACTCCTACCTTTCCCTTCAGAGCATCCCATCCCGTCCCCTTCTGATTTCAGCGACACAAACATAAGGATGGGACGTTCTCCACTGCAGGGCTTGTCTGTAGGCTGGGGAGGTCAGGAGTTGGTTTTGTCCTCTTAGGTCTATACTGAGCAACAGTGAGTAAACTCTGCTAACGTAGGAGTTCTAAAAATTTTTTTCCTGAAGCAAACTCCAGAGCAAGGAATATTAACTGTAGGAGTTTCTAAAACGTAACATGCAGACCTGGAATTAAGTCAGGTGTGACACAGAGTGGGGGCACACTGGATGTGTCCCCATTACTCACCTTGGGCTCAGACTCTTCAGTGTCTCCTCAGGGAGGGCTGGCCTGAGAGTGGGGGTCATAGCCGAGATCCATACAGGAGCCAGGCAGAAGCCACCACTGAAGCGGGTGGTGTAGAAGGCAGTGAGGGCAGTGTGCGGGGAGAGCTGACGCGCAGCTGAGACTCCTCCTTGTCACATGGCAGCCGTGGGTAAACCAAGGGCCTTGTGCCCTGCCTGCCATGGGCTGCTGGTGTGTCTTCTTCGCCTTAGGGGAAGGGATGGTGAGCTATGGCCTATGGGCCAAGAGTGTTTCTTATTTTTTTTTTTTTTTTTGAGACGGAGTTTCGCTCTTGTTAACCCAGGCTGGAGTGCAATGGCACGATCTCGGCTCACCGCAACCTCCGCCTCCTGGGTTCAGGCAATTCTCCTGCCTCAGCCTCCTGAGTAGCTGGGATTACAGGCACGCGCCACCATGCCCAGCTAATTTTTTGTATTTTTAGTAGAGACGGGGTTTCACCGTGTTGACCAGGCTGGTCTCGATCTCTTGACCTCGTGATCCACCCGCCTCGGCCTCCCAAAGTGCTGGGATTACAGGCTTGAGCCACCGCGCCCGGCCTCTTATATTTTTAAATCAAATGATGTGAGTTAGATGAAATACATATTTCCATGTCCATTGATAGTTTTGTTGACATACCACTTGGCTGCCTTGTGTCACAATGGTAGAGTTGAGCAGTGTGAAGAAGCCTGGCCCTTTACAGAGAAAGCAGGTCCACCGTGGCCTGGGCCAGAGCTCTGGGCAGGCTTGGCCACTGGCAAGCCTGGTCTCAGCTGGCCAAGGCAGGAGGCTGTGTGTTTTGGGTCACTCGGGGCTCAGCACCATCTCATGGCTTCCTTACTGTTTCGGCAGAGGCAGACCCACGGCTGATTGAGTCCCTCTCCCAGATGCTGTCCATGGGCTTCTCTGACGAAGGTGGCTGGCTCACCAGGCTCCTGCAGACCAAGAATTATGACATCGGCGCAGCTCTGGACACCATCCAGTATTCGAAGCATCCTCCACCGTTGTGACTGCTTTTGCCCACCTCTTCTGTTGTCCCCCCCCCCGCTTGTGTGTCATAGTTGTGTTAAGCTAGTGTAGAATTGCAGGTCTCTGTATGGGCCAGTTTCTCTGCCTTCTTCTTCCAGGATCAGGGATTGGGGTGCAAGAAGCCATTTAGGAAGCAGCAAAACAAGTGACGTGAAGGGAGAGTCCTCGTGTGTGTGCACTGATGTCTGAGAAACAAGACCGGCCTCCGGATTCCCTGGCTCCTTGCAGCGGCGCTGGGCCTGTGAGACCTGAGGCTCACTGCAGTGTGCTCCTGACGGAGCTACATTAGCAGCCCAGCACATAGCTTGACTAATGGCCTTCCACTCTTTTTTTTTTTTTTTTTTTTTTAATGACTTATAGGTCCCTGACATTTAGTTGATTTTTCTGCTAGAGACCTGGTACTCTCTGATTTTATTATTATTTTTTTATTTTTATTTTTATTTTTTCTCATTAGATCCATGGTAGAAGTTACTCTCTGATTTTAGATAAAGTAAGCCTAGGTGTTGTCTGGGGGTAAACAGGGGAGGGGGCTGTCCTGGTACAGGCGGTGGCAGCCAGTGCTGTGGGCTTCCTGCAGGGACTGAGAAGGCTCGTGAAGGGCATCCGCAATCACTGACAGCTGCTTCCTGGTCTCTTCACCACTGTAGTTCTCTCATTTCCAAATCTACCAGTAAGATCTCTTTGAAGCTATCCTGTTATATTTGTTAACAATCTAATTAAATGGTATCAGCACTTTAACCAATGACATTTGCATAGAGAGAAATGAGCTGTTTGACAGTAGCTTTATTGTTGGTGGTTCTTACACAGTATGTTTAAAAGCGCCTTAGGGGAACCCTGTCCCTCCTAACAAGTGTATCTCGATTAATAACTTGCCAGTCTCAGATCACAGATCATCATCAAAGTCTTCCCCGGTTGTAAAGAGGTCACGGAGTTGCGTGGCTTGGGAATTGTGTGCCTCCTGGACCCAGGGCCCGCCCTCTGCCTGACAAGTCCTTGTGCCCCACGAGGTCTTCCTGCAGGGCCTCTCAGGCCCAGATGTGAGGCTGTGAGTGGCTTGAGGAAGCTGGGCAGCAGCTGTGGGCCTGCTGAGGCCTTCCCTTGAAGTCTGTGCCCTGGGGGTCCCTTGCTTAGCCTGTGCTGGCCCAGCTGGCCTGGGGTTCCTCTGCAGAGGCCTTGGCTGCTCTCTGTCCACCTGTGAACTGTTTCTAGGTGACAGGACAAATCGTGCCCATTTAGAGGTTGTAGCTATAACCTGCCCAGGACCCCTCCGCTCCCTGATGCTGCACTCTGCATTGTTCTCCCGGAGGCAGGGGCTGCTGCCTTGTTTCACGTTCCATGTCGGGCCAACCTGTCCCTGAAAGAGAAGACCGCCATGCCCTCCATTTGTAGTAACAATGCCAGGGCCCAGCAAAATCACCTGCCATGCCTGGGCCTTGGCTGGGCCTATGGTTCTGACACTTTCTGCTGGAAGCTTTCAGGCTGGGGACAGGCTTTGATTTTGAGGGTTAGCAAGACAAAGAAAATAAATACCTTCTACCTCACCCCAAATCTTCTCCTAAAGTGCATGACCAGGCTTTACAAAAACACGACATTTTCATGTCATCAGGTGATCCATTTCCTGGCAATCTTAGAATCAAGTCAACGGTACCTAAACGGGGTTTGAGCAGGGAGGGCATAGAGACATCTGGAAAGGGGTGGGCTGGCTCCATCCTACCACCTCCCACCTGGGAGTGACTCTCCAGAGCCTGCCAGGTCCTGCAGCTGCAGAGGGGGCAGCACCAAGCTCCCTGTGGGATAGGATCTTGGTGCTGGGGCCTGGCTTTACTTACCCCAGGAACCAAAGATGCACTGAAAGTTGGGGTGCAGGCTGGGTATGATGGCTCGTGCCTGTAATCCCAACACTTTGGGAGGTCAAGGTGGGTGGATCACTTGAGACCAACCTGGCCAACATGGCAAAACTCCATCTCAAATAAGAATATAAAAATTAGCCAGGTGTGATGACATGTGCCTGTAATCTCGGCTACTTGGGAGGCTGAGGCAGAATCATTTGAACCTAGGAGGTGGAGGTTGCAGTGAGCTGACATTGTACCATTACACTCCAGCCTGGGCAACAGAGCAAGACTCTGTCCAAAAAAAAAAATAAAATAAAATAAAAAGGGTTGTAGGCTGGGAGCAGTGGCTCATGCCTGAATCCCAGCACTCTGGGAGGCCAAGGCAGGCACATCACTTGAGGCCAGGAGTTCGAGACCAACCTAGCCAACATGGTAAAATTCTCTCTCTACTAAAAATACAAAAATTAGCCAGACATGGTGGCACACACCTGTAATATCAGCTACTTGGGAGGGTGACGCAGGAGAATCACTTGAACTTGGGAGGCAGAGGTTGCAGTGAGCCAAGATCGTGCCATTGGACTCCAGCTTGGGCGAGACTCCGTCTCAAAAAAAAGACGGGTTGTATTGCTTACAAAGGGATGTGAAAGCAATGACAAGAGTGGGTCCCTGCTGCACTGCCATCCAGGCAGTATGGAAGAGGCTCCATGGCCCTGACTGACACTTGATGTCGGCTTTGCTATGCTGCTGAACTTGCTGTGACCGCACAAAAACTGCAAGCCTCAGTTCTTCACCTTTAAAACAAAGCAAAAGGCTTGACAGAGCGTAAAACACAATGATACCATTAAAACATGCAGCCTAGGGACTGACATGCAGTGGACTCTGTGATCATTCTGGGATTTGGAGATTCAAGGCCACATACTTAACCCATGATCACAAAACAAGTTGGCAGCAATAAAGTTTGAACTCTGCCTCTTGCCATGAGCCAGTGCTCTGTGCATGGTGTGAGGCCAGCCAAGTGTGACCTTGGCTGACATGGGGGTGGGGGCAGCGACTGAAGCCCAGTGGACTCCCAACTGCAGTGCCCTTACTTGTGCCCTGGCTCCTGTGACAGGCAGAGCAAACCCTGCACTCTGTAGCACTGGATATGCGGTGGGGCCTGCTGGATTGGAAGCTTAAAGAACAAGACTACTGGGCCAGGCGTGGTGGCTCACACCTGTAATCCCAGCACTTTGGGAAGTGGGAAGACGGCTTGAGCCCAGGAGTTTGAGACAAGCCTGGACAACATAGTGAGACCATGTCTCTACAATTTTTTTTTTCTGTCATCCAGCCTGGAATGCAGTGGTGTGATCTTGGCTCACTGCAACCTCTGCCTCCCAGGTTCAAGTGATTGTCCTGCCTCAGCCTCTCGAGTAGCTGGGATTACAGGTACACACCACCATGCCCAGCTAATTATTTTTCGTGGGGTTTCACCATGTTGGCTAGGCTAGTTTCAAACTCCTGACCTCAAGTGATCCACCTGCTTTGGGTCTCCTAAAGTGTAAGGATTATAGGCATGAGCCACTGTGCCTCGCCTCTACAAAACATTTTTTAAAAAAGAGCCAGTGCGGTGGTGCACATCTGAAGTCCCAGCTACTTGGGGGACTGAGGCAGTAGGATCACTTGAGCCTGGGAGGTTGAGGCTTCACTGGGCTAGGACTGGGCCACTACACTCTAGCCTGGGTAGACAGAGTGAGACCCTGTCTCAGAAAACAAAAAAGAACAAGACAACACCCTAAGTGAAGAGTGCCTCACATATAAGAGTCCATACCCGGGGAAATGCGAGTGTGGAAGGAAGCATCTCCCAGGATTCAGGGCGGGCCCACTGACTACTCCTGCCTGGACAAAGGTCCCTGTGCTCCATGCAGAATGAGACAATGGCCCTGACCTAGAAAACCCCTGCTGGCCAACCTTAGTTGCTCCAAGGTGTCACGATGTCCTTTGGTCTTGAGTTACCCTCATGGGAGACAAGAGGCATGAAAGGGAAAAGCAGGTATAGACCCGATGAAGGAGTTGGCTTCAGACAGAAAAGACAAGAAACCCAGGTCGGAAGATGGGCTTTCTGCGGGTAAGAATCTTAACACTTAGTCAACTGTGGCAAAAGACAAAATTATCCCGCACTTACGCAGTGGTCAATAGGACCAGAAAGAAACTGTTCTCTGTCACTGACCTTCTGGGGTTCCCAGGCGACCTCAGAGCCCTCGGAGTCCTGGATGCCAAGGCTGCATGGAGGCTGGATGGTGCTCTGGCTCCACTTCCTGGCAGGACAGCACTGTCAGTACTCCTGTGCTACCCTCCAGTGGCACCCCAAGCCTGACTCCACGATCACATGGCCCACAAGCCTGGGTGGCAGCCTGCTCATCCCTACAGCTTCCCAGGCAGATGCTCAGCCTGCCCAGCCACCACCCAGGCCCCACTACCCTGCTTCCTAGCTCCTAGTTGCAAGAAAGTTTTGTTTGTTTTTATCTTAGTCAGGGTCTCACTGGCATCCAGACTAGAGTACAATGGCACAATCAGGGCTGACTGCAGCCTTGACCTCCTGGGCTCAGGTGATCCTGCTGCCTCAGCCTCCCAAGTAGCTGGGACCACAGGCATGTACCATGAATTTGATTTAAAAATTTGTTGTACAGATAGGGTTTCCTTATGTTGCCCAGACTTGTCTCAAACCTATGGGCTCAAATGATCCTCCTGCCTTGGTCTCCCAAAGTGCTAGGATTACAGGTGTGAGCCACTGTGCCTGGCTGAAAGTTCTCATTTGAAAGCAGAATCTACCTCCTGAAAGCACCTGCCCTCTCAAAGCCACCCTAGAACCTCAGCCTAAGGCAGTCTCCAAAAAACTCACTGAAATGCCCGAAAAGATGAGAGCTTCTAGGTCTGAGGTCTCTGCTCCTCTGTGCTAAAAGCTCTCAGGCCTGCCAGCTACTCTGGCCACTTCCCTGAGGTCAGTACCGTCTGAGATGTTCCGAATTAAGTTGGCATCATAAAGGGTATGCATGCTGGTATCCTGCCCAGCTCTTGCCTCTGCATCGGCAGTGCCCAATGACCAGGTGGGCTGAGGGGCCGGCAGTGGCAGCAGCCACCCATTTTCCTATGTGCTGGCACTTCCCACCCAGGTTTCTCCAGCTTGGCTGATGCTCACAGTGGCTCACTGGTACCCCACTGCCGGGCATAGGCCCTGGGCCAGGTCTGGACCAGAGATGCACTTGGTACCTTTTTCTAGGTAGGTCTTGACTGAAGTGGGGGCCTGGCTCCTCAATTTTGGATGAAGGCTGTTTGCTGAAGCACACTCCTCCTCCTTCCAGCTCCAGTTCTTGGGAATCCTTTTCTAGATACTTCAGCCAGCGACTCTCTGAGGGCTGTGATTTTTCCTACCAGATTGAGAATAAAAGCTCATTCTCAGTACTGGAAAGCAGGCAGTTTTATCGAAAACCCCTAGTCCAACTCTTAGGCCTGAGGATCTCAGGAATCATGCCTACCTCCACTCTAGGAAAGGCACTGGCTGGAAGGTGATGGACGCCAATACCCTGTGATGCTGGCAGGATAGTGCCCGCTGGTACAGGCCTTGGGTAGGTGGCAGGGCACAGCCCACCAAGAATCTCATGAATGTCTATGCTCCTTGGCCCAGTGATTCCACACAAAAAGAGAAGGCAGCAATACCAGTCCCAGTTTTATAAATAATAGCAAATGTTATTTATAAAAGCAGAAGTGTAGAAACATGGCTGGGCACAGTGGCTCACACCTGTAATCCTAGCTCTTTGGGAGGCTAAGGCAGGTGGATCACCTGAGGTCAGGATTCGAGACCAGCCTGGGCAACATGGTGAAACCCTGTCTCTACTAAAAATACAAAAATTAGGTGTTGGCCGGGCGCGGTGGCTCACGCCTGTAATCCCAGCACTTTGGGAGGCCGAGGCGGGTGGATCACGAGGTCAAGAGATCAAGACCATCCCGGTCAACATGGTGAAACCCCGTCTCTACTAAAAATACAAAACATTAGCTGGGCATGGTGGCGCGTGCCTGTAATCCCAGCTACTCAGGAGGCTGAGGCAGGAGAATTGCCTGAACCCAGGAGGCGGAGGTTGCGGTGAGCCGGGATCGCGCCATTGCACTCCAGCCTGGGTAACAAGAGCGAAACTCCGTCTCAAAAAAAAAAAAAAAAAAAAAAAAAATTAGGCATGGTGGCAGGCGCCTGTAATCCCAACTACTTGGGAGACTGAGGCAGGAGAATTTCTTGAGCCTGGGAAACAGACTGCAGTGAGCCAAGATCATGCCACTGCACTCCAGCTTGGGGGACAGAGCGAGACTCTGTGTCACATGAAAGAAGGGAAGAGGGAAGGGAAAGGGAGAAAGCAGGCAGGAGTGTGGGAACCAGCTAAGCGCCGCATGATACAGCCATCAATCCTAGTACATCCACTACATTCTGTAAATACTTTTGTTTTTTTGAGACATCGGGGCTCCCGTGAGCAGTGATCATGCCTCTGCACTCCAGCCTGGGTGACAGAGGGAGACCCTGTCTCAAAAAATAATAATAAAATAATAAATAATAAATGAAAATAACTGCAAACCATACAGGAACAAAGAAGAATGATATAACTGAAAACTAGGATGCAAAAAAGTTTTTCTGATGAGAATGATATAAAATAAATGGACCAAAATGGAAGCACAGACAAAGTACCAGAAGAGCATCTTCTTCTGCTTGTAACAAAGTGTGAATCTGCCTAGGTACAATGGCTCATTCCTGTAATCCCAGCACTTTGGGAGCCAAAGCAGGAAGACGGCTTGAGCCCAGGAGTTCAAGACCAGCCTAGGCAACATAGGGAGACTCTGCCTCTATAAAAAAGAAAAAAAAAAAAAAAAAGCCAGGTGTGGTAGGACACACTTGTAGTCCCAGTTCCTAAGGAGCCTGAGGGTAGGAGGATCACTTGAGTCCAGGAAGTCAAGGCTGTAGGGAGCCATGATCATGCCACTGCATTCTAGCCTGGGTGACAGAGTGAAACCTTGCTTCAAAGCAAAAAAAAAAAAACAAAAAAACAAAAAAATAAACCAAACCAAACCAAAAACCAGCTTGCAGTCTGTAACAAAGAAAGATGGAAACCCAGGTGTTTTACCCCATTATTTCCCTCTCAGAGGTATGCCCAGGGTGATGTGGAAGCAGTACAAGGTGACATTTGAGCTACAGTCAGAAGGAGCTCTCCAAGCAGCAGAGAGTCTTTTGCAGGGTATTGTAATGATTGGTACACATGGCTATCTCCATCCTTACAAAAGGTACAGGTTTATTTATTTTGGTGTTCCCCATAGCTTTAGGCTAAGTGCCTGTCATTGGATGGCATCAACACATATTTGCTGTATAAACGACTACTGGATACATCTGTGCATTCATCCCTTCCCTGACACAGAGCCAGCCTGGGGCAGGTGGGCCTGATGCTTACCTGCTGCTTCACATTCCCAGCCTGCTGATGGCCCACATTTTCTTCTTCACCAGCACTGACAGTTTCTTCTAGAGACCTTTGGGGAAGACCATACATACGCCCTTTGAAAAATGACCAGGGTCTGGGCACAGTGGCTTATGCTTGTAATCCTAGCACTTTAGGAGGCTGAGGTGAGTGGATCACCTGAGGTCAGGAGATCAAGAAAAGTCTGGCAAACATGGTGGTGCATGCCTATGATCCCAGCTACTCGGGAGGATAAGGCAGGAGAATTGTTTGAACCCGGGAGGTGGAGGTTGCAAAATCACTGGAAGATGGAATCAATGACAATGAATATAAGATGAAGCCTCAACCTCCCTGGGCTCAGGTGATCCTCCCACCTTAGCCTCCTGAGTAGCTGGGACCACAGGCACATACCACCACACCTGAATATTTTTCTTTTTGTAGAGAGGGTTTTGCCATCCTGCCTAGGCTGGTCCCATACTCCTGGGCTCAAGTGATCTACCCACCTCAGCCTCCCAAAGTGCTGGGATTACAAGTGTGAAGTACATATCCAGCAGGTATTTGATTTTAAAAATCATTTTCCAATTGTCCACTGCACGTGTATAGAAATACAATTTAATTTTGCATGTTGACCTTGCATCCTTGTGATCTTGCTAAAATATTAATTCTAGTAGCTTTTTTTTTTTTTTTTTTTGAGACGGAGTTTCGCTCTTGTTACCCAGGCTGGAGTGCAATGGCGCGATCTCGGCTCACCGCAACCTCCGCCTCCTGGGTTCAGGCAATTCTCCTGCCTCAGCCTCCTGAGTAGCTGGGATTACAGGCACGCGCCACCATGCCCAGCTAATTTTTTTTGTTTTTTTTAGCAGAGACGGGGTTTCACCATGTTGGCCAGGATGATCTCGATCTCCTGACCTTGTGATCCACCTGCCTTGGCCTCCCAAAGTGCTGGGAATACAGGCATGAGACAACACACCTGGCTGCATTGTGAATAATTTCTTTAGATTTATCTTCCATTTCACGAATTCTCTTTTCAGCTGCATTTAATCTGTTCAACCTGTCCACTGAGTTTTTAATTTCTTTTTTTTGAGACAGAGTCTCTGTCACCCAGGCTGGTGTGCAGTGGTGTGATCTTGGCTCACTGTAACCTCCGCCTTCTGGGTTCAAGTGATTTCCAGCTAGTTTTTATTTTTATTTTTATTTTATTTTTTTGAGACGGAGTCTCACTCTTGTTACCCAGGCTGGAGTGCAATGGCGCAATCTCGGCTCACCGCAACCTCCGCCTCCTGGGTTCAGGCAATTCTCCTGCCTCAGCCTCCTGAGTAGCTGGGATTACAGGCACGCACCACCATGCCCGGCTAATTTTTTTGCATTTTTAGTAGAGACGAGGTTTCACCATGTTGACCAGGATGGTCTCAATCTCTTGACCTCGTGATCCACCCGCCTCTGGCCGTTTTTGTATTTTTAGTAAGATATGGGGTTTTACCATGTTGGCCAGGCTGCTATTGAACTCCTGACCTCAAGTGATCCTCCTGCCTCAGTCTCCCAAAGTGCTAGGATTATAAGCATGAGCTACTGTGCCCAGCCTGAACTTTTAATTTCAATGATTATACTTTTAAGTTCAGCAAACTCTTTTAAGACAGAGTCTCGCCAGGCGCGGTGGCTCAAGCCTGTAATCCCAGCACTTTGGGAGGCCGAGGCGGGTGGATCACGAGGTCGAGAGATCGAGACCAACCTGGTCAACATGGTGAAACCCCGTCTCTACTAAAAATACAAAAAATTAGCTGGGCATGGTGGTGCGTGCCTGTGATCCCAGCTACTCAGGAGGCTGAGGCAGGAGAATTGCCTGAACCCAGGAGGTGGAGGTTGCGGTGAGCCGAGATCGCGCCATTGCACTCCAGCCTGGGTAACAAGAGCGAGACTCCGTCTCAAAAAAAAAAAAAAAAAAGACAGAGTCTCACTCTGTTGCAGCTTCTCTCTGGAGCAATACATCTTCAACCCAGGCCTCACTTGAGCCTGGGAGGTGGAGGTTGGCTCCCTGCAACTTCCACCTCCCACATTCAAGCGATTCTTATGCCTCAGCCTCCTGAGTAGCTGGGATTATAGGTATGTGACACCACGCCCAACTAACTTTTGTATTTTTAGTAGAGATGGGGTTTCACCATGTTGACCAGGCTGGTCTTGAACTCCTGACCTCAAGTGATCTACCTGCCTTTGCCTCCCAAAGTGCTGGGATTACAGGTGTGAGACACTGCACCCGGCCTCTTTTTGGTTCTTTTTCAAATACACCTATTTTTTTTTTTTTGGATGTGAGGGTGATCTGGCTGTGACATCTGTCACCTCATCAATCACCAGGGTTGATTCACTGATCTGGCTAGCTAGGCAGTGTCTCACTCCTCCCTCACAGCTCCACGTGCATTCCTTCTGATGCTGTGTGCTCGGTCAAAGAAAACCACCATCCCCAATAGTGGAGGACTGGTCTTCGGTCAAGGGTATACGAGTAGCTGCACTCCCCTCCTAGAAACCTCCATAACAAGCTCTCAAATAGACCTATTTTTGAAGTCCCTCATCTTATCACTCTCCATCTTTTTTTTCTTTTTTCCTTTTTTTTAGATGGAGTCTTGCTCTGTAGCCCAGGCTGGAGTGCAGTGGTGCAATCTCAGCTCACTGCAACCTCTGCCTCCTGGGTCCCAGTTCAAGCAATTCCTACCTCAGCCTCCCAAGTAGCTGGGATTACAGGCATGAGCCACCATGCCCAGCTAATTTTTGTATTTTTTAGTAGAGATGGGGTTTCACCACGTTGGCCAGTCTGGTTTTGAACTCCTGACCTCATGATCTGCCCACCTTGGCCTCCCAAAGTGCTGGGATCACCCCCTTTTTAAATTAACTATATTAAACATGCAATATTATATATTCTGAAGTCTTTATGGGTCTGACTTTTCTGACTGTTGTTCTGCTATCTTTTGCTCATGGTGACATATTTCCTTGAATGTTAAATGATTATAAACTCTTAAGTATATGCTACTCGGAACTTTTTCTGTAGGAATTCTTTAAGGCCTGGGTTGAAGATATATTGCTGCAGAGAGAAGCTGCATTTACCTCTGCTTCCTGGGACAACTGAAAGATACATTCAGCTTGAGGCTTTTCACAGAGTATGTAAAAGGATGAAAAACCATGCAACAGCTTCCTTGTATTTCCAAAATCTTAGAGATATCTCCCCCTCTTCAGCCATTGCCAAAGTCAATACAGGCAAGCTACCTGTTGCAGGGTGGGTCTAGTTCATTTGTACACTGAGGCTGTCGTCTTCCGGAGGCTCAGTTTTGTATGGCGGTGTCCTCCTGGCCTTGCTATGCTGACCAGGCTGTAGGTTTTGTCTTCTGTCTCCTGCACCCCTCCCAGCCATCTAAATGGAAGCTCCAGAGCACCAGGCTTCAATCACCCCAGGAGCTCAGGTGCTTCCTCTCTGGCTTTTGGCCTTTTTTTTTTTTTTTTTTTTTGATGAGACAGTTAAATTTAGCAGTGGACAGTTATACCAACTTTAGTGGCACTAACATTAATAAATTCTGATAACCCACTACCATCAGACCGGCTTCGTTTCCATTTTTGACCTCTGAGAGTTACTTCCTTTCCTGTCAGCGCATCAGTGCATTTAAAATAGCTAGCATTTTTTAGTACTTTCAATGCGAAAACTGCTCAGCGTGTTTGACCGCCATGTTGTAAGACATGAAGTCTAAGGGACTTTGCCACTGTGTACTTCTATTATCCAGTCAAGATTAAAATGGCAAGACAATCACACTCTTCTCAAACAACTGTACCTGAGTGGCAACTCTGAAACTTGTCCCTGTAGCAGATTTAATTTTTGGACATGCCGTCTACAGTCAGCACCAGAACCTTCACCGTAAGCCTGGGAGAACAAACAAATACATAAAATTTAAAACGTATTGGCAGAATGCTGAGAAACAGATCCAGTTGAGGCGCATCTCAGGGAGGACAAAGCTGTGTTCTGTAAGGCCCAAAGACCCCTAAAGCAGCGTGCAGGAGTCCTAACGACTGACTGCTCTCTCTAGAATGACTTACAAGCCAGTAGTCTCCAGAACTAACAGTGTAGGTCTATTTGGCTGTCCCGCGAGCACCCTGAACTCTACCTAAGCCAAACTCAACCCAAAGCCCTACACAAAATGGTTAGTAAACATGAATAAAAACATCACAAGAGAAGTAACACATATTGCCATATTATATAACATACTGCTAAAAAGTAAATGAAATGATACTTATTCTCACTGATAATCAAAGGAATACAAAATAAAATACATTTTTTTCCACTTAGCAGTCATGAATTCATCCAATAAATATTGACTACCTACTATGTGCCAGGCCTCATCTAGAGGTAGATAATACAGGAGTGGACAAGACTCCCTGTCATCATGGAACTTGCATTCAAGTAAGAAGAGATAGGAAATAAACAAGTGAGGCATGTAACCTATCAGATGCTAATAAGTGCTCCTAAGGAGCCGGGTGCGGTGGCTCAAGCCTGTAATCCCAGCACTTTGGGAGGCCGAGGCGGGTGGATCACGAGGTCAAGAGATCGAGACCATCCTGGTCAACATGGCGAAACCCCGTCTCTATTAAAGATACAAAAAAATTAGCTGGGCATGGTGGTGCGTGCCTGTAATCCCAGCTACTCAGGAGGCTGAGGCAGGAGAATTGCCTGAACCCAGGAGGTGGAGGCTGCGGTGAGCCGAGATCGCGTCATTGCACTCCAGCCTGGGCAACAAGAGCGAAACTCCATCTCAAAAAAAAAAAAAAAAAAAAAAAAAAAGTGCTCCTAAGGAAGATGAGACCAGGAAAGAGGCCTTACGTAAGAGTCTACAGTTTTACATAAGGTGTTCAAAATGGTCAAAGAATGGATCTCTAAAAAGGTAACGTTTGAGCCCAGACAGGAAGATATGAAGAAGCAAGCCACATGGATGTCTGGGGGACGAATTCCAGCAGAAGCCATGACATGAAAATGAGCATGAAGACCCTAAGCCTGGCATTTTGGAGAAACAGTGAAGAGGCCAGCATGGCTGGAGCTGAGTGGTCTAAGAGGAAGACGGTAAGAGACAAAATTTGAGTATGGGTCCTACCATAGGCAGAATCAACCTCACGGGTATGAGCTCTGCTCTGCTGTTGCTGTTTTGAAATTCTTAATAATCTGATCTTTGAACCTGTGTTTTGTAAGTGAAGTCTGATGGGACAATAGAGCACATCTGTGATCAGACACATACACTATACATGTCCACTGCTCCTCAACGCCCCGCTGGCAGGAGCATTCTTGATGTCCCGTGGACACAGAATTCCTGTGGACACCCAGTGCCTGGCAGCTAGTAAGTCAAGTGAGAACTGAGAACTAATCATTGTTTTTAGCAACATAGAGACCACTGCTGACTCTGACACAAGCAATTTTAACGGATAGGTAGGGAGTGTAGTCCTGTTTGGCGCACATTCAAGTGAGAACAGAGAGGAGTAACTGGAGGGGGAGATGGCAAAGTCACGAAACACCAGGCTGGCATGACCAGTAGCAGTGTGCTCTTCCATAGGGCAGAGACTGCTGGCTGGACAGTGAAGAGCATTCTTCCTGACGTGGGCACAAAACTAGACTTCATTTTCCAGTGTGTGTGTGGTCAGGGTGGCCACAAAACCAGGCTCTTTTGACGGTAGTATCACACGTTTCCCAGCCTGGCCCTCAAAGCCTCCTGGTAGCTCCTCCATGCACTCACTTGTCCTTCTCAGTGGCTAGAAGCAGCTACAGATGAGCCTCAGGGAATAAAAGCAGCTCAGGGGCCGGGCGCAGTAGCTCACGCCTGTAATCCCAGCACTTTGGGATGCCGAAGGCGGGTGTATCACAAGGTCAGGAGTTTGAGACCAGCCTGGCCAATATGGTGAAACCCCATCTTTTTTTTTTTTTTTTTTTTTAAGACATTTATTCAGCATCACGATCAAACTATTATGTACATTTAGCAGTCAACAGCACGGGTGCAAAAAAAAAAAAAAAAAGGAAAGAAAAAAATCTACATTAAAACCCTTTGTTGGAATGTTTTACACTTTCCACAGAACAGAAACTAAAATAACCTGTTATACAATTAGTCACAAATACAGTCCTCAAGTTTTTGCCCATACATATGAGTATTTGTCTAAATCATGTCTTCTTTGTAGCAGCTGGGCCCTGCTACCACTGTGCTTGGCTGAGTTCACACATCTGTTGTGACCTGTAGCTTCCCCGTCACTTCTCTGGTTCTCCTCTCCTGCTAAGCTTTGTTTCCTAATTAAAATCTTCTGCCACTGCCATAGCTACTGCTGCTACCGGAACCACCACAGCCACCTTGGTTTTGTGGTTTGGCAAAGTATTGGCCGCCACCACCACAGGGCCCAGAGCTTCTGCCTCCAAAGTTTCCACCCTTCATGGGTCCAAAATCTGAAGACTGTTGTAATTGCCAAAATCATTGTAGCTTCTACCACCTCCAAAATTGCTTCCATCATTACCAAATCCATGATAGCCATCCTCACTGCCACCATATCCATCACGACAGCTGCCACCAAAGCCACCATGACCACTGAAGTTCCCTCCAAGACCAAAGTTGTCATTCCCACCGAAACCACCGCCACGACCACCACCAAAGTTTCCAGAACCACTTCGACCTCCGGCTGGAGGAAGCACTCGCCACCTCTTGCTTTGACAAGGCTTTCCTAACTTCACAGTTGTGGCCATTCACAGTTTGGTATTTCTGAATGGCAATCTTACCCACGGAGTCACGGTCATCAGAGGTTACAAAGGCAAAGCCCCTTTTCTTGCCACTGCCTCTGTCAGTCCTGATTTCAATCACTTCAGTTTTTCCATACTGTTCAAAATAATCTCTTAGGTGATGTTCTTCAGTATCTTCTTTTTTTTTTGAGACGGAGTTTCGCTCTTGTTACCCAGGCTGGAGTGCAATGGCGCGATCTCGGCTCACCGCAACCTCCGCCTCCTGGGGTCAGGCAATTCTCCTGCCTCGGCCTCCTGAGTAGCTGGGATCACAGGCACGCGCCACCATGCCCAGCTACTTTTTTGTATTTTTAGTAGAGACGGGGTTTCACCATGTTGACCAGGATGGTCTCGATCTTTCGACCTCGTGATCCACCCGCCTCAGCCTCCCAAAGTGCTGGGATTACAGGCTTGAGCCACCGCGCCTGGCCTCTTCAGTGTCTTCTTTAATGCCACCAACAAATATTTTTTTCACAGTTAAGTGGGCACCCGGTCTTTGAGAATCTTCTCTTGAGACAGCTCTCTTTGGTTCCACAACTCTTCCATCCACTTGCTGTGGCCTTGCATTCATGGCTGCATCCACCTCCTCCACAGCTGCATACGTGACGAACCCAAAGCCCCTGGAGCACTCGGTGTTTGGATCTCTCATTACCACACAGTCTGGGAGCGTTCCCCATTGCTCAAAATGGCTCCTCAGGCTCTCATCAGTTGTTTCAAAGCTCAACCCTCCAATGAAGAGCTTCCTCAGCTGTTCCGGCTCTTTAGGAGACTCTGACTTAGACATGATGGAGGGAGAAGAGAGACTTTAATGATGCTTCCTCGGCGGCATCCACCGGCAGAAATGAGCAAACTGACGAATGTATCTCGAAACCCCATCTTTACTAAAAATCCAAAAAAATCAGCCAGGCATGGTGGTGTATGCCTGCAGTCCCAGCTACTTGGGACGCTGAGACAAGAAGAATCACTTGAACCTGGGAGGCAGAGGTTGCAGTGAGCTGAGATCGCACCACTGCACTCCCAGGACTGTTATGAGAGCAAGAGAAACAATGTCTATTTATTAAGCCACCGCAATTTTGGTGTGTGTTTGTTACTGTGGCCTAGTCAGCCACATATCATATACCACGCATAGCACAGAGGCACTAAGGGGAGTAGGAAGGCTTCTCAAGGAGAATGTAGAAATACATATATCTCAAATAAGCCATGCTCACCATGTGGGGTGTCTGCCTACCTAGTAAGCCAGCCTCTGTCTTCTGAGACCCAATCCCAGTTGACTAGACCAGAGGTGGACATCCAAACCAGCCTGGGCCAACCAGATTACTTCTCCTAGGAATTTATAATTGGGACTCAGCTCTTCCACTTGGCTTGGAATGAGATTCTGTGGACTTGGAGCAGAGAATGTGACTATGAATTGCCTGGGGAGAAACAGAAAGGGAAGGAGAAGAGAAAATCAAGCAAAGATATAGAGAGAAGCTGGGTGACGCGGAGGAGAAGGGAGGAAAAGCTGATGCCTGGCTTGTTGGCAGCTTTTCAGTTCTTGCAGCTGGTTCTTCAAGGGATCAGGAATGAAGTTCTGGCCCTTGGATTCCCTAGGATATTTCATTACCTTGCCAGTACATTTCTATTTTTATTTTTTTTACTTTGCTGAACCCACTCTGAAGTGTTTTTTATCCTTTTTTTTTTTTTTTTTTGAGACGGAGTTTCGCTCTTGTTACCCAGGCTGGAGTGCAATGGCGCGATCTCGGCTCACCGCAACCTCCACCTCCTGGGTTCAGGCAATTCTCCTGCCTCAGCCTCCTGAGTAGCTGGGATTACAGGCACGCGCCACCATGCCCAGCTAATTTTTTGTATTTTTAGTGGAGACGGGGTTTCACCATGTTGACCAGGATGGTCTCGATCTCTTGACCTCGTGATCCACCCGCCTTGGCCTCCCAAAATGCTGGGATTACAGGCTTGAGTCACCGCGCCTGGCCTTTTTATCCTTTTTTTAAAAAAACAATATCAGGTGAAGGCACTCATCAACATTATAAAGTGTTTTTGTCTATTATTTGCAACTAAAAGAACCTTGATCAAAAGATACCCTTTAAAACAGCAATTTAGGCCAGGCGCAGTGGCTCACGCCTGTAATCCCAGCACTTTGGGAGGCCAAGGCGGGCAGATCATTTGAGGTCAGGAGTTCAAGACCAGCCTTGGCCAACATGGTGAAACCCTAAGTCTACCTAAATCCAAAAAAACCAAATTTGCTGGGGGAAGTAGTGTGCACCTGTAGTCCCAGCTACTTGGGAGGCTGAGGCAGGAGAATCACTTGAACCTGGAAGGCAGAGATTGCTGTGAGCCAAGATCATACCATTACACTCCACCCTGGTGACAAAGTGAGACTCAGTCTCACAAAAACCCCCCAAAAACAGCAATTTAACTTCTAGTACTTCGTCCTAAGTAAACAGTAAACAGCTGATCACGTGAATAAAGAGGTATTTATAGAAAGTTTCACTGTAGAGTTGTGCATAACAGTGAAAGGAAAATCAATTTAAATGCCCAACAAGGTCGGACTGGTTACTTACTCGTTCAACAAGCACCAAGGACTGTGCTAGGTGCTGAGGACACACTAGTAAATAAAAAAGGAACTGTGAGTTCTCATGGAACTCACAGTCTTAGATGGACAATCTGCACATAAATACATGAATATATAACTTTCATAGGATAATGAGAAGGAGGAGGGGAACTCCATAGTGAGCACAAAGGCCTGAAGAAGGAGCAAATTTGGGTTTAAGGTCAGAAAGCAAGCACCATGGCTGTAGGAGGAAAGATGAGAGGTGAAGGGAGAGGCAGCACCGGGGCTGAAGCAGGTAAAGAGAAAATTCAGTACGGCAAAGGATGCAGGGCAGCTGGGGTCCTCAGAGTTCAGGAGGGGCAATATGCATGGACTGAAAGGATGTGCTCAATGTCAGGTGCAGACAGCAGGCTGGGTAAGAGCATTTACAGCCTGCCCCTGCCTGCCTCCACTTCCTGAGCCCACTCTCCCACACCCCCACCTCCACCAATAGCCTCTGCCCTCCCTAGCTGGTCTGATTCCTCCTCATCTTCTGACAGTCCCCAGTGCTTTCCTTTCCTTGTGCTCAGTCAAGTTTTAAATTATATAGAAGCGTGTGTGTATCAATTTCTCTTCCCCTTCCATACAAGTGTATCTGTGAGGGCAAGACTGACAATGGGCTTACTTTCCACTGTTTCCCTCGTGCTTGACACACAGATGGTATTGAACAAATACTTTCTGAAAGAAGAATCAAACGGCAGTACCTTTCCAGACACTGCTCCACCAATTTCACTTCCTGAAGGAACGGGAAGCTCAGGGGCAGGAGCTCTGTGTCTGGTGAACTTCGTGTGAGAGAGGATGATCCCAGCTGTGGCATGCTGGGACTCCCTGGAAGGACTCCCTGCAGGCATGTGCCCCGCCTGCTTTCTCTTTCACAGGACTCACCCGCAAAAAGGACTGCTTCTCTCCACAAGCTTTGCATGTCCACTTGACACTCTTTTTTACCTGCAATGAAATTTCAGAAATACAACTCAGATATTTAAAACTAAATGGAATTGGATCTGAAATAATTTTTTTTTTTTTTTTTAGACAGTCTCACTCTGTGGCCCAGGCTGGAGTGCAGTGGCATAATCCTGGCTCACTGCAACATCTGCCTTCTGGGTACAAAGATTCTCCTGCCTCAGCCTCCCGAGTACCTGGGATTATGGGCGTGTGTCACCATGCCCAACTAATTTTTATATTTTTAGTAGAGACGGGGTTTTACCGTGTTGGCCAGGCTGGTCTCAAACTCCTGACCTCAAGTGATCCACCTACCTTGGCCTCCTACAGTGCTGGGGTTACAGGCGTGAGCTACCATGCCTGACCTGAAATAATTAAACACAGTCCAGAAACAAACCAACACATATGTGTAAAAATTTAGCATATCATAATCATAAAGGTGGCACTTTAAGAGTGAGAAAAGAGTTCGAATTCGAGTCACAGCACCAAAAAATAATAATAATAAAAATAAAATAATTTTAAAAAAGAGTAAGAAAACAACAGAGTATTTAACAAGTCTGGGTTGGTGCTGGCAAATACCATCAAGTTGGGCTGGGTGCAGTGGCTTAAGCCTGTAGTCTCAGTGACTAGAGAGACCAAAACTGCTTGAGTCCAGGAGTTTGAGGCCAGCCCAGGTAGCACAGCAAGAACCTGTTTCTCAAAGCCAAGCCAAACTAAACCAAAACAAAAAACGTCCAAAAACCCAAGATGAAGCTCTACCACCTGTGGGTCTTAAAAATAAATTCCACAACACTCATTTTCAATTCTTGTTAAACCTGACTAGATGTGTTCTTTTAACATGATAAAATGCCGTAAACCCAGCTCTGATGTTGAAGAATCTCTACCAGCATTCCCATGGAAGTCAAGAACATGAAAAAGCCAGAGTTGCCCACTATTATTTACCATTTTTTTCTGGATGTACTATCTAATGGAATTAGTAGAAAGTTGTAAGTGGTATAAAAATTTGAAAGGAGGGGAAAACCCTATCATTATTTATAGATATAATACCTGATATAATTTTTGGGGGGATGGAGTTTCACTCTTGTTGCCGGTGCTAGAGTGCCATGGTACAATCTCACCTCACTGCCATCTCTGCCTCCCAGGTTCAAGCAATTCTCCTGCTTCAGCATCCCAAGTAGCTGGGATTGTGCCACCATGCCCAGATAATTGTGCAGTTTTAGTAGAGATAGGGTTTCACCATGTTGGTCAGGCTGGTCTGGAATTCCTGACCTCAAATGACCCACCCACCTTGGCCTGCCAAAGTGCTGGGATTAAATGCATGAGCCACCTCACCCAGCTGCAACCTGATATAGTTTTTTATCTGAAAAGCCAACAGAATGAAATGAAAAGCCACAAAAACCAGACAACCTAACATAGTGGTTAGGTACAAAATTAAGATATCTTCAAAATTTAATATAGCTTTTGTATGAGCAGACATCTAGTTAGAAGAAGATAATGGATAAAGAGTCCATTTATAACAGCCACAAATAAAATGTTACCAAGGGATGCCAAGGTTACTTGAAGAAACATAATCATGTTTAACATCACCAAGATGTCTAGGTTGATTCATTAAAATTAATATGATTAATATGATCCTAATATAAAATCATGAGGTTTTGGGGGGAAGTATCCAAAAGGATTCTAAGGAGAACAACGAGCATCTATCAAAAATTGAAGCGGGTATATCGTATGGCTTAGCATTTATTTCCCAGCTTCTACCTTAAAACACCAATAACACTGAATTTTCCATTGAGTATGTAAGCAAGTATGGAAAGCATTTAAAAAAGTTTAGGACCCACAGTAACTGGTAAAGGAATTAATTCTGTTAACTGCTGAGAGATAGTATGGTTTTGCCATTTATTAAGATGGAGAAACCACTTGATTTCTTTGGATTTCAGAATTCTCATGTCTGTAAGATGGGAATGATGCCTAATTCAAAGGTTGTTGAAGTTAAATGTGTTAAATTGGTATTTTACTTGCAATTAAAATGGCCAACGTCCTCTTTGGTTTCAAGTCATTTTTTTCTTTGTTTTTGAGACAGGGCCTGGCTTTGTCGCCGAGGCTGTAGTGCAATGGTACGCATACAGCTCACTGTAACCTCTGCTTCCTGGACTGAAGCCATTCTCCTGCCTCAGTGCCCCTTCCACCTCAGCACTCCTGTGCACCTAGGACTACAGATGCACGTACCACCACACCTAGCTATTTTATTTTGAATTTTAGTAGAGGCAAGGTCTCACTACGTTGCCCAGGCTGGTCTGGAACTTCTGCCTTAAGTGATCTGCCCTATTGGGCTTCCCAAAGTCCTGGGATTACAGGACTGAGCCACTGGGGCCAGCCAACTCTTATTTCATAGGGTTAAAAATGACCACGAGGGTCAGGGGCACTGGCTCAGCCTGTAGTCCCAGCACTTTGGGAGCCAAGGCGGGTAGAGCACTTGAGCCTGGAGTTCCTGACCAGCCCAGGTAACACAGCAAAACCCCATCTCTTAAAAAAAAAAATACAAAAATTAGCTGGGGATAGTGGCCTGCACCTGTAGTACCAGCTACATGGGAGGCTGAGGTGGATCACTTGAGTCCGGGAGGTGCAGGCTGCAGCGAGCTGTGATTGCACCACTGCACTCCAACCTGGGCGACAAAACAAGACCCCATCTCAAAAAAAATAAAAAAAGAAACAACACTGGTGAGCTTGGAATTGTGAAACAGGGAAACAAGGAAATAAAAATAAATGGAAAATTTGTTTTTAAAAGAAGGAGAATGAGCATGAGACATTAGACATGTAACAATTTAAAAACGCAAATGATCTCTTCATTTGCAACTCTTAGGACGCAGCCCCCAAATGAAAATAAGTAAAAAGTTTCTGAGCCCTTAAAATAGCCCTTACAAACGTTCAGCATTAAATGCAAGCTTACAAACACATACTCAGCATCTTGCTGACTTTTTGACATATATCTTAAAGAAGTCTGATGCTATTCTTTCTCAGGGCACAGCAGATCAGCCATAACTAGGAAGGACGGACTGTCAAAAGCGGATACGCTGGCTGCAGTGTTAAGTGGTATCAAGCAGGACACGGTACAATCCAGAAAAGGT